CAGTTCAGAATGTTAACAAGTGGAAATTTAGCCAGGGCACTGGGGTTAGCAAAACTAATTTCTTAAGTTCTAATTATCTTAGTAATTTAAATGGTAAAGGTCCCTTAACTAAGTGGGAACCTAGTGCAGACATAGATGAACCTTGCTTGGTGGCTTGCTGTTGTCAGTTGGAGGCACTTCTACTTTTCTGTTAGAAGACTGACTTGGCAGGATCTGATTTACCTTCTGTAAGGTAGTGGATTTATGTACATGGTAATAAAGCCTCAAGAAGGAAATACTGGTTTAGATGTACTTTCTGAATGGTGAAATACTCTTACAGGCTTTTGAATTTATAAAAAGAAGAAGTTAGTAACTGGTGGAAAATAAGAATCTGAAAGACTTCAGATTTACTTAGGTCAGATTAGATTTATTTTTTATTGCATTTAGTTAATTGTTTAACATTATTATACTCTTTATGTTATTATAACCTCCAAAGTAGACTGTATATACACATAATGTAAGTACTACTTGTGGTCCATTCCAGTAATATTTTAATGAGAGGTTCTTGAAACAGCAGTTATTATCTTTAGGAGGAAATCATGGCAGAAATCTTCGTTGAATTAACATCTGGAAACTGTAATAGATATTGTAATGGAGAATGTTAACCCTGTAGGCTACTTGCAGAATTTTCCTCTGCTGTATTATTAAATTTGAACAGATAAATACATTATTATTCCTGTGGATAGAGAGGGACTGATGACTATGTAACACACCTGATAGTCTAGCTATGGTGAAGTAAAAACCCTTCCTGGTAAGTGAAATTACTTAAAGGTATAATGCTTCAGGAAGATGGTCCTGCAAATCGTACCCTCTATCACAAAGGCTACTAGTCCAAATCTCACCACAGTATCTGATGGTGTTCTCATGTAATTTTCTTCAAAACTTATCCTTGAGCAGATTTTTTAGGTCTCACTCATATTCCAAGGGAAAGGCATTTATATTATGACCTCTGTCAGCACACATATCATAGATTTCTTCAGGAGCATTAAGCTGGAGATTGGAATAGACCTGCTTTATTACACTCATTTATACAAATATTTTTTTATATGAAGGAGAAGCTGTGTGGACAGAAGGACATTTCACTGACTTCCTCAAGGACAACCACTTTGCCTGTGTCCTGGGCAATGGGAAAGAGTTTTGGCTTCCCTGCTGCTGAGGCAACAAATAATCAGAGGCAGACCATTGCCTCTGTTTTTTTGTGAAACCAAGGGCTAGAACTCTACCTGGCACTTACACAAATTGCTGGATAGTGGGGTGAAGGGAAAGGTGTTATTCCATTTCCTGCAATTGCTACCCATGTGGACACACAGGCAGAGTTTGCTTTGCGGATAGCAGACACTGTCATTCCTGCTAGGATGCTCTGCAGAGAAACCATGGATGGTTTCCCCAGCAGAAGCTAAACTCTTCAGTACTCACAGAGGTCCCTTCCGAACAGGCCAGAGAAAGGTGACACGAAGACCTGGCTGTCAGTCTGGCTTGGCTGCATACTGGATTTCTGGGGAGCTACAAAGCAGACTGTGGCTCATAAAGTAGCTGAAAATTTAGCTACATTTGCCATAAATATAATGGGGGGTTGTGGGAATGTTGCATAGACAGCCATACACATGCAGCTTAGCAGAGCCTGTGCTGTGGTTTTGGTTATTCATTATGTCATGGCTGTTCTCAGAGCTCTACACTGTGATTAGGGCTGTTCTCCTTAGTGGCTTTCAGTCAGGTTTCTTCCTTTGTCTGCAGTAAGCCTCTGGTAGTGGAACCAGGACTGGGGTGGCCCAAGATGTAGACTTACATCAAACTCTAGTATGATAAGGATATTTCCTAAAATAAAGCCAGAATTCATCAAGCCTTGAAGATCATGGCTTAAGAAGAGCCAGCAAACAGAGGGAATGGCTGTCTTTCCCAGCTGCCAGCACAGCCAGACTCTGCCCGGTGTGTTTGTTTAGACCAGGGCTTCAGCCACCTCCAGAGATATGGAAGTGGTGACTGTTTGAGCAGTGTGAGGTTCTCCTAGTCCCACAGGTGCTCTGCTGCCTGCACCACCATTGCTGGCAGAAGGCTTGGCACGAGCAGTGCAAGGGACTTCAGAACTCCTGTGGGATGCACACAGTGTTAACACGGGAGATCCATTACTTCCTCAGGATTCATGAACAGTGCTGATGAATTTGTTGCAGTCTGCATTTTTCTTATAGTCATAATATAAAGTGGGTGGCTTGAAAAATTTAAATAAACACCTATATTAGATTTATAGGTCATGTGGTAACAACAGTCCTGTTAGACACTTCTTACAACTTATTTTCTTGAGCACTTTTCACAAAAATCAAAATCCCCATCTGATATTTGAAGTAACAGATAAAAAAAGCTGCTGCAAGTAGTAATTTGGTTTTAGTCACCACTTACTTCTTTTCTTCACCCACTGTAGTCATTAGAAGGTTGGCAACTTTAAAACAAAGCAAAAAGTCACATATATATATGTGTCCAACCACTGAAGTGCAAAGTAAATCTTCAAAAAGATAACCTGGAGCCTGTGTGTTTAGCCTTTGCCACAGAAATTGTTTAAATACTATGCTGACTTCAAACAAAATATGCATTCTCTTGGTTAGTTTTCTATTTTGTTTGAAGTCACTAAATACTGTAAATTGTGTTATAGGACAGCAAAGAACTGTGCACTGTATAACATATATTCAAGCAGATCCTATGCAAATAAATCTTCTTGGTTCTTTATTTTTTTATTACTAATTCCTGTTTTCACAAATCCCTGTGCTTGGAAGCAATTTGCTTTTTGTCTGTTATTTCAGAATTGACTTCTTAATATCACTGAAATCCAAAGAGGAAGTAGCAAAAAAATACATTTTGAAACAAATTGTGAAGGAAGATGAAGAATAAGTTGAAACAATTAAGCCTCATAAATGAGATTGTGGTATTGAATTTTTTTCTTTTGAAACATAATCTTTTCATCAGATCATATTGGAAAAATCTTTCATGTGTAACTGGGGTTCAGTCTTTGTGAGTGCTTCAAGATTTGTGGTGTAACTGTGATTTTTAGATTTCAAAACTTTTCTTTTCTCCATAGCAGACTTTTTTAAAATAGTCAATAAACTTAAAACAAAAACACTCTATTGAATAATATTTTTACTTGAGACATTGAAAAAAGTAAGATCTTCGTATTTCTTTTATTTCTTTGATGAAATAAAATTAGTCCTACTCTCTTTAGAATTTGACCATCATTGAGACAAGCATGTCAGGAATTATTTCCACTTTTTTGTGTGTGTAAAACAGGACACCTGAAATTAATTGTTAGGAGAAAAAATAGTAAATTAACAGATTTAGAGAAGTAAATAGTATCAAACAGGAATACATGACAGAAGCTGTTTGTATTATTTTTAGTATGAAAGGCCTGAGGAACATGCCCCCTGGATTTCACAAAATAAGTTGACTGCATTCTTTAATATTCATACAACAGCAACTGAAAAGATCACAGAAGTTTGTCAAGTGAAATGTAGTTATTTTGTACACATTTAAAATAGATAATAAGAGTCTATTTTACTCTTTACACCACTGCCACAATAGTGCATCAGCTTATCCGAGAGAGAGCAGTCCAGAACGGGGACCAAAGAAGAGAGGGAAGAAAACTTCCAGTGTGCATCCTCCTCAAAACACAGACAGAGGGTTTAGTCTTCAGATGTGTTATCATGAAACTCATCAGTCTAATCCCAAAATGTCTTTCTAAGTAAGCAGTTATGGTTGTGGAAAGGCCTAGTGAGGAGAAAAATTTGATACAAAAATACAGAGGAAGGATGTGTTTGCATGCTATGTGTCCAGTTCTGGTGCTAGCTCTTTGGCAATGGTTTTTGATGTAAAGATGCTGTTTTATTTCTGATTAAATGTGACAAGACTTTCTTTAAAGTCATAGAACCACATAGCACAGGATTATTTGGGTTGGATTTCTGGGTTGCCAGAATCACGTCTAAGGAAAAGACTGCTCAGCGTCTGTGCTGTGTACTGAATGGCAGCAGCTGAGGCCTGTCTCTGAGTATCCATCTTGCAAATACTGTTGGGGACAGTACCTGTTACTGGTTGGTGCCTATTGAACTTGTCAGTGCCATTGGGACTTCAGCTCCTTAGTGGCAGAGTGCTTTTGAAATGATGACTTAAGTTTCTAAGTCATTCCATTGCCTTTGAAAATATTTTATTTCCCAGAGGTTTGTTGAAAAAGTTATGGTACTCACTGCTACCCTTGACTGATGGCTAGCCTTGGCTGCAAGTGTTTACATGATTGGATCCTGTGTTAGCTGGTGTTCCTTAGACACTGACACCTTTAGGGAAAAATCTCCTTCTGGCTTTTTGTTATCAAAAGTCTTCTGTTCTCATGGTGATCCGCACACCTCAGAGGCCCAGCTTGGGATGGAGACAAGATAAATTTGTGGGTTGTAATAGTATAGAGATTGCAAAGGAAGCTGAACAACTGAATCTTTATACTGCATTCTTGAAAAGAGAAAAACCTGTACACTGTAGTATATTTCACTAGCTCTTAAATAACATCTTTGTCTGCATAGTGTCACTTGTGTGGTTTACTTGTGTCTGCTCTATTATTTATGTCTATATATTTATATATATATCTATGTCTATATATTTATAGAAATTTTGGGGGGCGTTCTTAAACAGGCTACCTAATGCAACACAGGAGTGTTACAACTTGCAACTGAGTTCAACAAAACTATTTTTCTTTCAAATAGCTCATACTTTCACAAAGCAAACTGGGAAGTAAAATCTCAAGTAATACAATTTAGTTTCCAATTTTATTTTAAGTAATACTATAATGAATATATTTCATTATGGTAGTGATATAATGAATATATTTTCTGTAGTAGTAATGAATATTGTCTTAACCCTGAGTCAAATTAATTTTATGTTTTGTTTTTTCTCTCTCTTTCTCTCTCTCCTTGTCTCTTTCCCCTTTTCAACAGTCCTGGTACCTGGGCTAGCTTGGTTCCTTTTCAAGTATCAAATAGGACACCGATCCTGCCGACAAATGTCCCAAATTATGGTTTGAACATAATTGGAGAGCCTTTCCTTCAAGCAGAAACAAGCAACTGAGGGAAAAAAAAATATTACAATTAAAAGCAAAATTAAAAAAAAAAAAAAAAAAAAAAAAAAAAAAAAAAAAAAAAAAAAAAAAAAAAAAAAAAAAAAAAAAAAAAAAAAAAAAAAAAAAAAAAAAAAAAGAAAAAAAGAGAAGACGAGAAAAGAAACTGAAGAAAGAAGAAAAAGTAGACCAGCAATTGCAGCTCTTACAATCACTAATTCCCTTATGGTTGAAACTGAAATGAGATACAAAGGGTCGATGATATTTCACTGATGGGTAGAATGCAGCTCCTGCTAAGTAGCCTTTGTTATATGAAGTCCGCTGGGAAATAGATGTTCTGTCTCCGACAATATATTTTAACTGACTTTCTAGATGCCTTAATATTTGCATGATAAGCTAGTTCTATTGGTTTAGTATTCTTGTTGTTTACGCATGAGATCACTATTCCTGGTTATCTCACAAAACAAAGGCTAGGCAGCAGCAGCAGAGCTGCAGGAGGACAAGGGCCGTGAGCCAGTCATTTTTTCAACACTTGGATTTCTAAATGTTTTAAAAATAAGCTCTGTAGCCTTTAGTTATGGATCAGTATGGATTTATTAAACTTTGGCCCTTAATTCAGCCTTTTCTAGTGTGTTATGCAGTTTGAAGTTTTCAATCAGTATGAACACACAGGCTCTATGAAAGAAATGCCTCTACATAGGTAAAAGTGTTATCTTCTCATGCAACAGTAAAAAAAAAAAAAAAAAAAGAAACTGAAAAAAGTGACGTTTTCCCCACTAACGAAACACAGAGGCAAGTGCAATTTAAAAATCGTATCTAAGGGGTCATCACTACAAGTCCTTCAGCCCTTGGACTCTAAATTGAGGGGATTAAAAATAGAAATAAAAATGACTTTGAACAAACTTACTTTTCCCCTCAATTTTTGAGGGCATTAAAAGGCATTAAATCAAGACAAATCATGTTCTTGAGAAAAAGAAATCAGTGGAAACACAGCACTTATGTTGGTTTAGCTGCTGCCTCCACAGAGGGGTAGGATTTATTTATTTAAAGTTACTTGTTGCATCAAGAACCCATAGGGTTTACATATTTCAGTAAAATCTACATCATAGAGACAAAGACATAGGCAAATCCATGTCACAAGGGCAAAGCTTACCGTTTACAAACTGGTAATACCAGGATGGGGATATGTTGTATTTAAATAATGCACTCTTAATGTAAGTCTAATTACAGGGTGCTGTAAACTTGCATGGTGCTTTCAGAAGTTAGCCTTGTTCAACAATTTTCACATATTGACAGAAATATAATGTGCATGGGCAGACATTTTGCCTCTATGTCTCTTTAAAAATTTAAAATACTCTTTCCAGTTATCCTAATTTGCACGAAGATATAATGTCCACATTACGTGCCTTGCCTTGAAATCTAAAAAATGGAAAAAAAAAAAAAAAGAAAAAACTACAAAAAAATTGACATCACTACACTTGTTTCGCTGCATTTATTATAATTTTAAATCTTTACCATTTTTATGACAAAATATTTTGTATTCCAGATGCGAAAAATGTGTGACATCATGGATTTTTTAGACAGTTATACCTTTATCTCACATTTATAAAGCATATCATGGCTGTGTATAGTTGCCGCTTAAGAATTGTAATCGACCAGCAATATTTTCAGTATTTTGGTGTTTTTTCTATTAACCTTTCATGTTTTTCATCTTCCAATTAATATTGGGGGGAGGGGATACAAATTTATACAAATTATGCAATACCAAGTTTTGCCTATGTAGGTAGTGCTTTTAGCTGTATTGGTTATTATAGGTAAGTACACAGATTTAAAAAAAAAAAAAAAAAGGAATACTGTATGCTTTTTTTGTTTGTTTTAATTGACCAAAGTGGGTACTGCTATTTTTGCAGTGTGATGAGGTCCTTTTCTGTACTGAGAGGTGGACAGGGGATTTTTTTTTTTATACATACATATATATATATTCTGGGGTGGGTGGGGAGGATTTTTAACACTTTACAGTGTAGCTGTGAAGCAGTGCACCCTTAGCCAGGCAAGGGCTGCAAAGCGACTGTTCTGCCTACTGTGACAAACTTTCAAATCGGTTCCCTCTTTTTAACTTCCCACCTGGGGTGCAAGCTGAAATCATTTCTGGATTTAAAAAAAAAAATAATGAATTCTGTTGGAGGCAGACTTGACTTGAGGAAATTGTTTTACTTCAAGGGGTTTTTTTTTTGAGAAAGAGAGACAGACAGAGAATTAGGTCAAGACCCACAGTGAGGTGAAACCTTTTCCATTCTGACAAAGATACTGCATCCTAAAGTGTGCATGTTAGAAAATGCTTTCAGCTCAGAATGACAAAGACACTTGCTTTGTCTAGGAAATGCAAGTACAGGGCCAAAAACTTTGCTGGCATAGTTCCACTGACTCCAGTTGACTCTGGATATGTTCATGCAGAGAATTTGCCTCCCTTAGACTGCTTGACTGGTAATTTTTTTTTTTTTTTTAGTTTACATAAATTTTTTTATTCTCCTCCTCCCACCAAGTTTAATTCACAGCATCTGAATTACAACTTTCAGCCAGCTTGGGCTATGTCAGAAGTTTGCAAAGTCTTTTCATATGGCAGATCAGATGGAGAGTTCTGGGCTGTAGTGGAGAAGGAATTTATGCAAGGAATTAGACCACATGGAGCAGTAGAAGTGGCACATCCCCATGTCTCCAGGAGGAGACATGTAGGCAGGGCCTGAATGGCTACAGAGACAGGATTTTTAAAGAAATAAATCCTTGAGATTTAGCTAAACTGAAGAAAAAGCTGAGACACGCACACACACACACACACACACACACACACACACAAAGGTAAAATTGTGTTTGTCTTTTTCTGAGCCCCTTTAATAGGTCAGTTGTTTGCTAAACACATGGCAAAGTATGCTAGACCCAACCAGAGTGCATCACAGGCTCTGGCCTGGTGAAACAAAGTATGTATGTCCTTTTCACATGTCACTGATACAGAGCAGTTTGGGAGCAGAAAGGTGTGCTGGGGGGACATCCTTGGTTAGTACCATCAGCAAGGTGTTCCCTGAATGCTTTCAGTAGCACAGAGAGAAAACTGGAACAAATTCAGGCTTAAACATGCAATAGCCAAAATGATGATTGCCCTTGTAGAAAGATGGATGTCCTTAACAGAACCTTTTTTTAAATCTCTGACCTCCTATATGCAGAAAAACTGAGCTTACAGATGAAATTTTTAAAAAGAAACTCCTTCCATGTGAATAAATTGGATTTTTCAGCAACTGTGGGTTTTTGACGCCTGCCTCTCTAATAGAAAAGCCTGTTTGGAAGATAATGAACTTTTCATTTATTGTAGGTTGGCTTTTTTTTTTTTTTTTTTTTTTTTTTTTTTTTTTTTTTTTTTTTTTTTTTTTTTT